TCTACGTTTCCGTGCTTAGTGTAAATGTGAAATCTTTGAAATCTCCATCTATTTTTATTTTTCGCAATTGAGTTACTCGCACATAGCTACATACATACATACGTATTCAATATGGATAGAAATCTAAAAATTCACATGTAACAACAACTCATCGAGCGAATGTGACCGTGTGTGTTCATATGCGTGGCTGTAGGTGTTTCTACGTGTCGTACGTGCCAGGCAGCTGTTAATTTAGTTTATTGCTTTGCATTCAATTGTCATTAGAGTGACAAGCCGTTGTTACACCTGTACTTCCTCGAAATTATTATTTTTGCTTGGAATTCGTAACTGGCTGCTTACAACAATAATACACAAATATAGATACATACATGCATACATAAGTATACTATATGCTTACATTTGCATACAAATGTAGATACGTTTATTTATTTAATCTTTTCATCTAAATTTTTTATACTTTTAGTGCCCCGCACCGAAATCGTTGGTGGTCCAGATCGCTTGGTCAAAGCTGGCAGCACTGTAGTTCTGCGTTGCATTGTTCGTGGCGCACTGGAGCCGCCCACTTTCATAATGTGGTTCCATAGTACGGAGCAAATAAACGGCGATTCACGTCGCTATCGCACACAAGTCGACCGGAGTCTGCCCGAGATCGAAGGTGATGCACACAGTACGGTAAGTGAAGCGAATATTTTTAAAATACGTACATATTAACGTGCTGGTATTTTCTGTCGTATGGAACGGTTGGTGTACCAGACTCGGCTGGCTGAAAAACAGGAAACTTAGTTAAATTTGAGTAATCCCAAATCACTGACGTTTAAGCTAGTTTTGGGATTAGAGCCAGCGGGTATTGTTTAGCATGGATAAAACACTCTTATTATGATATATTTTTTTCTGAAAAATACCCAACAGATATAGCGATTTTGACCATATACCTACGAAACTATGCATAATCTCAAAAAAAAAGTTCCTGATTGTGCAATAAAATAAGGTCGAATTAAAAAGATGAACTTTTAAGACTTAGTTGTTCATTCGGAAATATTATCAAAAAAGTCAACCTAATTCAAAGCAAAACGTAGATTTTCTAAATCATATCGTCTCGTTTACATATCAGTTTTGAATATAACTGTTTGGAGGAAATAATATGATTTTTTCAGTCCCGCAAATCCCTCGAATCCGCGGAATTGATGATCTCGATCACGCAAACTTGTGGGATTGCGATTATTATGCCACATTGGATTCCCTTGTTGTAATTTTAAAACACACACTTTTGAGACAAATTTTAAAATAATATGACCTGTATTCACCCTTACAACAATTTCTGGATGCTAATTCTGAGACCAGTCAACCAGACTGACTCATTTCGGACTCTTTTGGAGTCATAAATTCTGAGTTGAACAAAAGAACAAAGTTGACGTAGAAGTAAAAGTTTATAATAACACAGGCCAATAAAATAAAAAAATGTATATATTTGCGACACGGAAAGTGAACCCTGATTCTTATAAAATTTTTTCCGTAGAAACATTATCTGAAATTAGAAATCTTAAATTGGCTTTAGTTTTTGAGATATTTTGACTTAAAAGTGGTAAAATTCTCAGTTTTTTTAATTTTTTAGACATATATAATGGAATAACGGGATCCGGTAGAATATTTTGAATAAGATGTAAAAAGCTAAACATTTGAGAGATTCACAGCGGTGTCGTAAGTGTCGTATTGTTGTATGTCGTAAACTTTAAAAGCTAAAATAAATGTTTAGAGCACTTGAAACCCGAACAACCTATTTTTAACACTGCGAAAATGGATAATATAACTTTGATGGTACTGTGCGAACCCCCTTAAGACATTTTTTAGGTGTTTAAGTTTACGACATACAACAATAAAACACTTACGACACCGTTGTGAATACCCCAATTGATTTTTTAGCACAAAAGTTTAAAATCTGACTTTTATAATTATGGGCTACTAAAACAAGTTCAAAAAATATGTGTACACAGCGAGTAGGTTATCAATTGATTGGAATATGTTTTTGCTTGTTTTCTTTTATGTATGTTACCGCTTCTTAATGGATAATGATGAAATTAACAGTACTCTTTGATTTTTATATGAGAATTGAAGTCGGTTTTGGTTTTTTTGCTTAAAAATTACTTGTGAATTAGAAATATGCCGAAATGTTCGACTTTTTGTTTACCTGTGAATTTTAAAAACTTTTCAAAAATAAATACCACCCAAAGTCTTTTTATCTTTCGGGATAAAATAACAGGGGTTAGGCCTTCTTTGCATCTTATTAAAATATATTCTATCATGTACTGTTTTTATATTTTATAACATGCTACAGTAAAACCCGCTTAAGTACCTTACGAAAAATGTCAGCTTTTTGAGGTACTTAAAAAAACCCAGTTAAGTACCTCGATGCGGGTGCTTAAGCGAACATAATTACAGATGTAGTTAATCTTCCTTTGAACTTATATAAAGAAGTTCTTAAATAAAACATGAACTTTAATGAAGTGTACGCAATTTAAAACCAAGATAGTAGCATTATTTAAACACATAAATACATAAACAAGAACTTTATAAAAAAAAAATCGATAAGGTAGTATTATATAATTTTTACAAGATCTTGTTTGCCACTTATGCTTATTTATTAATTTATAAGATTTTTCAATTAAAACACAATTCGTGCCCATATAAATCTAAGCTTAAAATTTTTTAGAGCACTGAAAAAAAATGCATTCAAAATATCAAGCTTTTTTCTCAGAAGTGTTTACAGCCCATTCAATTTTAGTGTAATATAATGTGCAAATTTCAAGTGGCTAAGAATTACCGTTGATTTTTTAGAACTTTTTTTGCCGAACGTGTTGCGGGAGCACTTAAAAGGGGAAGATTGTAAGTAAAATGGTAAATGGGGTACAAAAATGTAGGTAAATAGAGAGAGCGATTTTCTTCAGATTACATTAAAGTATTCCCGGTGCCTAAAAATGTTGGTTACTAAAGCGGATTAAGTGCTTAAGTGGGTTTCACTGTAGTAGTTAGCTTTTTGACACCTTTAACCCATTTCATCCCAGAGGCAAACAATTTTGGAACCTTTTAATAAAACGAATTACATGAGCTATTTAAGGCCTAAAAACGATGCAGAAGTGATTAAAAATATTTTTATCCCAATGAGCTTCCTAGGGTAGGCAGTCGCGAAAACCCAACGTTGTGAGAATGTGAAAGATTGAAATCCACCATCAGAGAATTGATTGGGCCCTATAAGTGTGGCTTTAGGCCTGGAAAATCCGCCATTGACCAGGTATTCACCTTACGATAAATCTTTTAAATCACTGGACACATAAGGAGCTATTTTTCGACATAAATGCCGTTTCGGTATCACGAAAAGGAGTAGCCTATTTCTCCGAGCAATTTGATGCCAAACAGGATTTCAGAAACGTCGCCTCTTGGTTGCGTGATTTCTTTAATCTGATGTTGGAGGAGATAATAAGAACTGAGGCGCTCAGGTATAATTTATTACAAGAGCGTACAATTGTTTGCGTAATGCCAGCCTTCAAATTGAACGGAGAATATGCTTGCTAACAAGTGCTACTTTGGACTGAGTAGACAATTGAGCAGTAAGGTTCTCTCTCGACAGCATCCGATAAGGCGGCCCTGGAGAAAGATCTTGGAAAAGATTCACGGACATGCATGAGCTTTACAACATGTCATAGTGCAGTGAATTCAAAATGGAACTGCACCTCCAGCTTGGCCATGTCATTCGAATGGATTCAAGTGCTTCTCAATTCGCTGATGGTAGCAGAGGAACAGGACGACCTTCTCTGCAATGGCAAGGCCAAGTGGAGAAGAACTTGGCACCTCTTAGCATTTCGAACTGGCTAACAGTTGGCATAGAAGAGAAACGATTTGCGCGCATTACTTATTAAATTACGTCGAAATCTCTTAGTCGGATACAACGCCAAACAAGGATATAAGAGCTTAAAAGAACCTACCATTATTTATCTAAACTTATTTTGAAGATAGCTTCCATGTATGCACTTCCTTTTTCCCTGTGATAGTAAAATTTTCGTTGAGCCCCAACAGGAAATGCAAATCAAAATTACTCGAATTTGTTCAGCAGAGCCAGAAGCTTTGAAGTGAATAATGTTCAATTGATCGCTCTTATATTTTGAAAGTGTTAAAGTCGGTAGAGCAATGATGTCTCAACGTCAAAATCAAAAGTTGACAGGACTGCGTTGAAGAGCAGAGTAGAAAAAGTAGTACTCACTCCACTCGCACCACAATAGTAAGATTTGGAGTTGGGGGCACCTTGTCATTTATCTTCACGCAAATGGCGAAATCGTCAAATGTTATTATATTTATGACAAATGTGTCTGGAAAGTCCAACAGATCGTCCAATTTTCGAAATGAGAAGCACAAGAAACTTGAATAATCTCCTAATCTCGTTAAAATCTATTTCCCACAAATCCACATATAAATTTATTGCTCATCATTTATGTATGAATTTGTACATATTTATGTACATACATACAAGCACCTACTTCAATAAATTACTGTCGTTTATAGCCACATTGGTTTGTTTGAACTTTGGCTTTATGAAAATGCAAGTCACCTGTTCCTTTAGCTCGCATCAACAGCATTTAATCTGTATTTATTATTAACAAGAGTAACACCGCCAACATTGACAGCCAATTAGGGAATATTGAATAACTGCAAAGGGAGAAAATTCAATAAACTTAAGCTAAATACAAGCGCAAACACAAATACTTACATACATAAATACTCTGTATTCTTTATTCGTGTTTTTGTTTGTTAAACATTGCAGTTGCAGACTTTGCAAATATGGCTGGATACCGATTGTGATACACATGCGACACAGGATAAACAACCGTTAAACATGAGCAAGGCTTTTGATTTGACACCACTCCATGAATGTGCGCAGTCAGAGTTGCCAAAACTCTCACAAAAATAATTAAAATTTTTGCATTATTGACTTAGTATATTTTAAGGATGGTAAACGAAAGTTAAACAAGTATAAGGTTCAGGTGAAACCGCTACCTACAAAAATACATGACTTTTCGCTTTCCTAGAATTTATGGTTATACAAAAGATGTGCGTGATTTTTACTGAGTTTCAGAAGCTTTCGGCCTAAAGTGATATGAACACCACATATATGTAACAAACTTGATACAGATTTCAGAATTATCAAAAAATATTTACATATTTTATAACAAGTGGTCGGTGTAATGCCCATTTTCAGTTTTATATTTTATATTATATATACATTTGAATAACTGATATTAATTTTGAGCAATTTGGATTGCAGTATCACCATAATACCATTATAAATGCATATGTATGTGAGGCGAACGTGTTTGTTGCAGGATTTGGAAAAGCTTCAATTTTGTTATTTAATTTGCTTTTGCTGTGCTTTGATTCCTGCATGTCATGGCATCGAAAACAAAACAACAGCAAATCAAAAAAAAAAACTAAATGCTTTGGTTGCCGTTTTGGTGTGAAATTTCGAAAGCAACTAGACAGTGCAAAGTATTTTGTGAAAACACAATGACAGCGTAGCCGCAGCGAACTAATAGCAATTCGCTACAACTTTGCTATGGAGCATCAAAATGGCAGAGACAGTGGATATTATATGCACGTGCAAAGGCGCTAGTGGCTTTGACTGATAA